TGTTCCCTCTTGAGAAATCTATTCACATGTTCCACCGCCATGGCTCTTCAACAACTTAAAGTACTTTATTTGGAGTCTTGTCCGGTGATGGAAGAAGTTATTGCAGCAACAAATGATGGGCTCAAGGAAGTGATTGATGATGTGATTGAATTCCCAAAGTTGGAGTGGTTAATACTGAAAGATCTATCGAACCTCAATAGGTTCTGTAATGCAAAATATAATTTTAATTTACCATCATTAGAGAGAGTTGTTTTGAAGAGGTGTCCGAAGATGCGCAACTTTAATTTTGGACAAGTACGCATGTCACAGATATTTGTAAGTACACGTGGCAAAGGAGAGGCAGACTTACTTTTTCAACTTGATTTACAGTTAATTATTTTTGTCAGTTGACTACTCAATTGGAGTGCTTCATATGTTCCATTTATATGTATTTTACTTTCTTTTCTTTAGGAATGCGCAACGGCAGATGACAATGACTATGCCGGCCAAGAAAGAAAGTTCTCCGACCTTTATTGGCTGCAGGAGTAAAGTAAGTTGATCATCCTTTATTATAAATATATATATATATATATATAAATTTCATAATATTTATAGGAAAATTTTATAATGAACATAGTTAAAAAGAAGTGTATCATATATCCAGTTATGTTTTATCGGCTGAATATAATAAGTTAATCCTCCTTAATTAAAAAAAAAAAAGGAGGCAAATTATGATGGAGGTCTCTATATTTTACTTCTTTTGTCATTTTGGTCTTTATACTTTCAATTAGCTTAATTTTAACTCTTAATTTTAGATTTTATTTTAATTTGGTCCAATTAATAATATTGTTGGTTTTTTAAAGAAAAATTATTACTAAATTGATTGAGGTTAACCAACTATATTGAGTAAGTTTATAATTTTACCCTTAAAAATATGGCACGTGGCACTTATATGAGTATTTTTCATAAAAAATACTAAGAGTTATAATTAATTGAATCAAATTGAGACAAAATCATAAATCCAGGATCAAAATCGAGCCATTGAAAGTACAAAAACTAAAATGATGTAAGGGATAAAGTACAGGGACTACCATCGTAATTTGTCCAATATATATATATATATATATAAATGTAGGGTAACGCTACCATATACAAGTTATGTTATTTGGGAGTTTGATTATCACAAATGATATAACTCAATACTATGGGAATCATAACAAAACAAAAAAAAATAAAAATAAATAAATAAAATAAACTAAAATAGAATTATAATCAAACATCACATGAGGTATAACCAACCAACTCTTAAATCATCACTGAAATAATTTTATAACCAATATCACAATGTATCATAACTAACAACACAACATGTCATAATCAAATATACAAAAGTGTAAACCAAAGCATAGAATTTCCCAATATTATATATATATACACATTTCATAATATTTATAAGGGAATTCTATATAACACTTTAAAAAATGATGTATTATGTGCCCGACTTTTTGTGATCTTTAGTTATGGCTCATTTAGTTATAATTAATTATAGATGTTATTGTAACACCTCGAAATTTATAACATCATATAATTACATCAACCAACATACATTATAAAAGAGGGAGTGTATAGTGATCCTGGTTTTTCCTCTCTTTATTTATTGTATTCCGGACTCGGTTCCGTGAATGTGTTGTTGTCTCATTCTCATTTCCATCCTTTACTCTTTGTATTTGAGTCTTGGGTTGTGTTGGGCAGGTTTGAAACAGGTTGGTTGTGCTTTGAAACCAAAAGTTGATGCCCAGAATTTGGCCTTCACGCTCGAGCAGGGCTTTTGACGCTCAAGCGGGCCCTTTGTTGTTGCTTCTCCGCTCGAGCGGGCGTTTTGACGCTCGAGCGTGAATTTCCATCTCCCAGTATTTTTCTCTGTAGGTCTTCGTACGCTCGAGCGGGAGTTTTGACGCTCGAGCGTGACCCTTTGATTTTGTTCCTCCGTTCGAGCGAGGAGTTGACGCGCGAGCGAGGACCATGGTCTGCAAAACTTCTGGAAGTGTGCAATCGACGCTCGAGCGGCACTTTTGACGCTCAAGCGTGAGTCTGTGTCTGACAATCGAACGGGGGTTCCCACGCTCGAGCGGGGCGACTTTTATATCAATCCGAGTTTCACCTTTTTGGATCACTTTTTGATTTCCTTTCTCTCTCTTACTTTTCAAAAACCACCATTGGAGAGCACCTCACTCTAAAACTCTACCTTCTCTCTAGGGTTTGATCTAGTAGGAGTGACCTTCTACCCTTTGGCCTTTGTAAAAAGTGTGGAGTTTGTCGAGGGCTACATTTTGATCTGAAAATATTGGGGTTTGAAGCACTTCGAATTTCTTCATCTTCTTCCTTTGAGCTCCGAATTTGAGGTAGGGATAACTATTCATTTTTATGATCTTTGAAATAAGTATTTAGTCATTTTGATTTAATGTTGAAGTTGGGTGATTTTGGGTGATAGGGTTTCTAAATGTATAAAGAGGGGTTTTGTTATTTTGGCTCATAAATGTGTATTTTGGGTCTTAAAATGATAGTATTGATGTTATTGAAGTTATTTTGGGCCTTTGGGTCAATGTTGAGGAAAGGGGGAAAAAGCCCGAAATTGTTATGACAAATTAATCCATGTAATTAATTTGGGAAATTATGGAAACATGAAATTAAGTTGGAATCAATGAAATTGGCATAATATGAGATGGAATAGTGGAGTTGGATTTATTAATCACTCACGTTGAAAATTGTTGATAAATTATCTGTTGATGTAATTATTTTCTGTTTAGAAATAATTGCTTTGGGCTATCAGTGGAGGATAGTCTTGATTGTTGTAGACAATGCATAATGATAAGGCAAACTAAAACTAATCAATTGAATATGTCATCGAATATGACGGTTGGAATAATACATCAAATTTATGTATTGATTGATTATGTATATGATATGTGTTTATATACATTGTATTGTGTGGGAGGAGATAGGGGATGTACTCCACGGTTTAGGGGAAGATAGGGGATGGACTCCTAAGCCGGATATTGTTTGGGAGGAGATAGGGGATGGACTCCATCGATACAGTAAATATGTGTATCTATTGAAGTATTGATACAACAAATCTGTGTATCATATATGAAGTACGGAAGTGTTTTGTTTGAGATTGATACAGCAATTATGTGTATCTATTGTGAAGTAGGAAGTGTTTAATTTGAGTTGTTATCTCAATTGAAATGGAAGTACTGTTGATATGAGATGTAATCTCATTTAAATTGTTTGGCCAGGTTCTAAGCTATAGTTATGAATTGAGAAATTGGATAAGAAATGGAAAGTGGAATGAAACATGGACACATTTGTCATGTAATTGAAATGGGTTATGAATTGATTTATGTGAGTTAAACATTTATCAAATGCTAATGTTTTAGTTATTACTCATATTATGTTTAGCATATCTCTACTGGGGCGTTGGCTCACCCTATATGGGATATCATTTTCAGGTACAGGTAGCATGCCACCTCCAAGGACGTAGCTTGAGAGGCTTAGTGGCTGGGACATCTTTTGTGATTACATTTTTGTATTACATGTGTATCAAGCCAATGGCTTATTATCTGTTTTGAGTTGGTACTCACTCTTTTTGTAACCAAGTGTTGGCTTGGAAAGTTGTAAGCTCGTAGGGCATTTACTTTTGTTGTCAACATGTAATACATTTTGTAATGAATACTCTGATGAAATATAATTATGCTTTATTCTCTTATGTCTGAGCATGTCAAGAATATATGATTGATGGGTGTATTTTAAGGGCGTTACAACTTGGTATTAGAGCGTACCGGGTTTGAATACTTTGGGTACGTGGGAAGTGTTTAGTAACACAATGGGTTTGTCTCGCTTGTTAGAGACTTAGAGGTAATGTTATGTACTTATGTGATAACATGCTTATGTGACTACTTGGGTATGAGATTTAGTTTCTAGGATGTTGATTGGACCCTTGAGTTTCTGTGAGTCTTGTTGGAAAAGCACTTGATCAATGCTGTTTCTAACCGGAACTCTAGTAACGTCTCAGAACTATCATTATCTGGAAATGAAATTCGTAAGTGCTTACGTGATTATGCGCTTATATGGAGTGAATTACAGTTGTCCGTGCATTAGGACGCGAGTGTTATAGCTTCGGCACATTTGTGAATGTGCTAATGTTCTTCGTTACCTTTATTAGGATGTCAGGACGAGGACAAGGATGTGGAGGTAGACGTAGTAGGCGTGGTAGGCAGGAGATGCCTTTACCGAATGATATTTCGGCGCAGCAGGAGGGTGTTGGTCAGGCCAATGTGGCCGAGCCAGCGGGTCAGCAGGCCATGGGTGCCTTAGCCCGCGAGATAGCATGAGCTATGAGGGAATCCATAGGCATTCTCAGAGCCGAGAATCAAGTTCAGGCCCAGGTTGTTGATGCAGGGCCTTCCTTTCTGAAGATGGAGTTTTTCCGGTCTAATCCGGACGAGTTTATGGGGAATCCGAAAGAGCCACTGAAAGCTGATGAATGGCTCGAACAGATGACGAAGACGTTTGAGATGCTTGGCATCGAAGACAGGGCTTTGAAGGTGACCTTGGCATCTTTCCAGCTTAAGGGGGATGCGGGTCAGTGGTGGAAGTACATGAGGGGTTGTATTGGTGGCACGTGGGAGGCTTTTGTCGATGCTTTCCAAGAGAAGTTTCTATCTCCAGCTGCCAGGGAGAAACTGAGAGACCAGTTTTGTCAGCTTAAACAGCTGAGTTTATCAGTGGCCGAGTTTGAGGCCGCATTTACCAGTCTATCTAGGTTCGCACCTGAGCTTGTGGCGTCTGAGGAACGCCGTTGCCTTGAGTTCGAGAAGAAGCTGAGGCACGGGCTCAAGATGAGAGTTGGGGGTTCTATGACTCGGGATTATGGGCGCCTTATGGATGCTGCGGCCCATATGGAGATTATGATGTAGGAGGAGGAGGAGGAGAGACAGAGAGGCTCCAAGAGGAGTCAGGATGGTTAGGGGGACAGTAGGAGGCAGAGGGGTTCTAACCCTCAGCAGTCCCAGGGAGCTTTTGTGAGATCGACCTTTCCAGTATTGAGTTCGGGTTCTGGGAGAGGCAGTCAGGGAGACATCACATGTTATAAATGTGGTCAACCGGGCCACAAGACTCCAGCTTGCCCTCAGAAGGGCGGAGGGCGGAGAGCAGCTTCATCTTCGGCTCGACCTCAGAGTCAGAGTCAGGGCAGAGGCCAGCCGCTCCCTTGTTACCAGTGTGGCCAGGCGGGGCACCTGAAGAGGTTTTGCTCGCAGTTGAGTGAAACTTCTGGTGTATCTGGGCAGAGGCAGAGTTTTCAGCCAGCTCAGTCAGTTCAGACCTTAAGGGCCAATCAGGGGGCTTCATCGTCCCAGTCTGTGCAGCAGTCCTTTGCTCCGAGAGGTGAGCAGGTAGATCAGGGGCCTTCAGGGCGCGTGTATGTTGTTACCGCGCAGGATCTTGTACCGGCTTCATCTGTTGTGAGAGGTACCTTTTTGTTTTGCAAC